GAAGAGCCGCGAGGCATCGGAAGATCTTGTTCACTCTCGAAGCAATAAGTCTCTAAAAACAGCAACCATAACTCCGGTTATATGAAAAGATTTGTATACTTATGTTTGTCGCATTTATGAGATTGAATAAGTAAATTATACGTAAATCTTATTTATTACGCAAATCAGATTATAACATGCAAAATTGCTACAGTAATTTAGAGAGCTTTATATAAATAGATTTTACCGAATAAGTTATAATTAACGAAAATTATTTAAAGTCGTAATACGAAATGCTTTGTAAAATTTGGGAAAGAAATATATGCAAGAAATAATTCAATAAATGAAGTCGAATTTGTTGTTGAAACATAATTTCGCGATTATTGTTGAAATTTCTGTGCTATCACGAGATATAACGTCTATAGTAGTACCTGTCGTAAAGGTCGTTCGATTCGATCTAAGACCGATTTCGTTAGCCACGCCCGTTTTCGCGCAGCACCTGCAGTTGTATGCAGGCGTGGTGACCCACGTCTATGTGTGCTTTTACTTGCATACGAGCCGCTCGCATATATGCTAGTTTACTTTCTGTTTTTCGACTGGCCGGTCGACGGGCGACCGGCTCTTACGTGAGCTTGTGGGACAGGATTTTTACGAAAGTCTCCCGCATGGACGAGAAAGTAAAGTGCACCTCGCTGTTCGCCCCCGAGGCAAGCCAGCTGCCCCATTTTCCGACCTTATGCGCTTCGTATACTTTGCTTTTCGCTCCGCAGCTGCCAACGCGATCGCGCGGATTCAGCATTCTAATAATCGAAGGCGCAAAGCGAGTCAACTTTTTGAACTTTCTCGTTTTTAAATTTTATTGCGTGGTCTCATATCGTTTTGCGCTTCGTGGTTTCGATTGCGTTCGTTAATTACCACAATTTTACGCTCTCTTGGATCTAGTAAGTTGCGCTCAGTTTTGGTATCCTCTTAATCATTTGTGTGTGACCTAAACTTAATTTATAGGAAAGCTTGTGTGACCGTTATTCTAATGAAACTATACATATTTGCATTTCACTTTCACTTATCAAACGCTTTTGGAAAAGTTATTTTCAACATTTTAGTAAAATAACAGATGCTAGCACATCTTTGACTATGATGAATAATTAAAAAAAGTATCGAATTTACAAGCATTGAATCATAGCAATCCATTAATGACATATTTTCAATGTTTATATTATTATAAAATTTATACGAAAATAATTAGATCAGTTACATCAGCAGACTTCATACATGTGTGAGATGAAAAACGTGTCGCGATGTTTTTTTTTGTCGGAAAATATTATTCTTATCACTTTTCCTGGAAAATTATTTTAACAGAGTTCCACGACGTTGTAGTTAAAATTTGTGTCTGACAGTAAGTGGCTTTTTCGAGAAACATTTCAAATACATACAGAGACTTCTCTTTCCGCTGGCAGTCGGAGTTGCGGAATGAGTTGTTTGGTCTTCCGCTTACTTTTCGCAATTGCAAAAAGAAGAAATGGAGGTCGAGTGCATATCGCGCGGACCCTCTCGGCAGATCGCTGGTTAGATTCGGCCTCTAAGCACGCGCGATGCGAACAAATCGCCATGCCCCGCTCTCTCCATTAAGGTGTAGTCCTCATTTCGCGTATACACATGCATATTACACCAACGAACTTATCCGCGAGAACTGCGAGCGCAGTAGATCAGAGATAAGCGCGTGGAGGATAATTACAAAGTGCCGGACTAAATGGATTACTAAAGTAACCAAAAGCCTAACGCCATGACGATTAAGAAAATCTAACGAGACTCATGAAGCTAACGATATCCTCCAACGCAACGGAACACCGGTCTCCCGTTCATCCCGTTCATCCCGTTCGTCCACAAGAACCGTTTTCTAATTTAATCGTCGCGACCGATCTCTTCTTTTGTTAGCGCAATCGTGCGCGCCGACCGTTGATCGCCGCGCGATTTTCGAGAGCGCGAATCGCGGAATCCCATACTTGAATAACGCGTAACGGTACACATCGTCGGCAAACTTGTATCGCGTTTTTCCCCTTCGTAACTGCTATCCCACGAGACGTTATCTCACATCGCGCCGAGAAGTGCTTTTTTTCCTTGGCGATTTTGACAGCCGATAGCGCTGATGTCGATAGCGCTGATTGGCCGGATTATCGCACACGTCGTAAAAGCACGCGTCGCTACTTTTCCATACGTAGGCTTCCCTGAAGAACCCAGTGTGACGGAGAAATGCAGCGAGCTTCGACGATAAGTCGCGGTTCTTCGGTCACTCTCTGATTCCGCTTGTTCTCCGAGGCAGTCTATACTGCTGACTTTTTCGTTCGCTTAGATGCGCTTAGATGCGCTTCAACATGAGTCGCGCTTCTTGTATATCCGCGACATTCGCCTTTCTTGAAATGCGCTCGCGGCAGTTTTTCGATAGACGAGACAGATCTTGCTATTACGTGAGACCATTTGAACACGAGAATTCTCGTGTTGAGCGATTTTAAATAGCTGTCCATTTCTGGTTTTACCTCTATTATTGTCTTCCTCGATTGTTTCGTTGTTAACTCGATTTTTCTGTAGCAATTTATTGCAGTAATATTTTTTTACGTAAACATAAAAAAAAAATATTTAAAAATTATATTGTTACGAACAGCAAAATATTTTTGACAGAAAATAGATTATTTGAAACTTATATAAGTTTATGGAAATAGAATACAAATATTTGATTTAATCATTCATAATTTGATTCAGAAGCAAATTATAATTGATATTTCTTTAGAGTAGGTACTTCTTTTTTTCCAATAGAACTTGTAGGAAAGATCTCTCCATCTCTCTGGAAATACACGCCAATAAATCACCATTTCGATAAACTAACAAACAGAGAATCAAACCTGTATATTTCCTGTAGCTTCTTTCCTCCTGGCATGTCTTTGATTTCGCTTTATCTTTCTCTTTTGCACGCTCGCTCTTTCTTCTTTTCCTCCCTCCCTCTCTCTTTCTTCCTCGCAAAACTCAACGCCAACGAGTATGGGACGTGCGCGACGTTATCTCTCCGATTTCTCTAAGGGAGAAGCGAATTTAAATTGCCGATTGCGAGCGATTCCTACCGTCGTTCACTTTCCCTGAAACGCGTTTACCTTCTCTCTCCCGCGCTCTCTTCTTCTTACTTCCTTCGTTCCTACGTTTCACGGTTTCTTCCACGTCGCGGTTCTTCGTACTTACATATACCTGTCATGAGCGTTCTTCCTTCTTTGGAGAACGCAATGTGGCTGACGTTGACGAGCATCGATTTACGGAAGGGACTTGCGCGATCTGCGAAGACTTTGAACGTGAAAAGAGAGAGAGACGGAGGAGCGAAGATGGAGCGCATCGCGGTTGCACACCGTTAAAGGAAAATCGAAACGACCGTATCCAATGATCAGTATCCGTCGAACGCGAGACGATTCTCGATTGCGATAAAATTGCAGACGGAGTGACACGCCAGGGTGAAAGGCTAAGCAGCTTGCGTTTTGCTTTCGCATTTTCGCACTGCATAAGATTAATGCATAACGCGAGATTTCGCTTTCGCTGTTGCGATAAAATACGATAAGGCACGCAGCGTTGATTAAAAGCAAAATTTATTGCATGGCTGCGTTAACTACGAAAAAATATGTATAACTGAATAGATTATTCCACAGTTGCAATTATGTACATATTTGGAAATCTTGTTGATAAATTGAACACATTCTTTAAAAAATAAAAACATGATACTGTAATATTTAATTTACAGTCGGAAATATTATAGCCAATGCCATTGATAAATCTAGAAGCGAAATGCTTTAACAAAGGCCTGCGCAAAGCCATTGCGATGTCATTCTAAATTATTAATAATATAAATCCTGTTGAGAGAGATGGATTATTTTGACTGAAAGAACTACTTTTGAAACTAGAGGCACGCGCGTGTTGTTCTCAGTGATATGCATCGGAATTTCGTTTCTTCGGGCGTAAATACCGATGTCGTATGCATGCCGTGACCACGACATTCCTACGATAAACAGTCCGAAGAAAGGAAGAATGATGGTCGGGACAATGACACGAGCAACAATGGCGCCTCTGTTTTACGTTTGGATGAATATAACTCTGGCTATTCAGAACCTCGTGCGTTCTCTACATCTAGGAAGTTGTTATAGGTGCGCGATATTGAGGCTCTGAACCGGAGAGTCAGCAGAATGATGGATTCGTAATTACCGATAGACACCGTAAGAATGCCGCGCAAATAATACGACATACGCGTAGTACATTCGGACGTTTTTTGTAATGGGATTTATTGCGGGACTTGTAATTTCGTTCGGTGATCGAAGGAATAAATAATCACGCTGAAAAAAATATATTTGAGACATTTTGTAATAACTGTATAGTTAAAATAATTTTCAAGTATTACAATAGAAAAAATGAATGTAGATTATATTCTGTATTTGTGATAAAAAATTACGCAAGATTGGCGATTAT